GGATGAGTGCTGTGTGATGTGTGGTATGTTATACAATTATTGGTGTGTGTGTGTTATGTTTGTTTGTTTTGTGTTGTGTTTGCCTGTGCGTGGTGCGTGGCGTGTGCGTGTCACCATACACCACACACACCACACACACCACGCACCACACACACCACGCACCATACACCACACACACCACACACACCACGCACCACACACACCACGCACCATACACACCACTCACCACGTGGTAAGGTAGGTTACGTGGTGGTTAGGGTTAGTAGGTTTGGTGGTCGAAGAAAATAGAACCGACGTGGATACTTAAACGTTGCAGCATTGGTTTTCCAGCCTCTACTATTTGCTACCAAACCTAACTACGTGTCATTTTTACTGTTGCTGCCATCGCTATCCATCTCACCGCGATGACGTAGATTGCAAGCTCGTAACACAATAGCTTGATTGAGCAGAGATCTCTGATGTACATCATGCACCTCTTATAATGGTTTAGGTAATCCGTGCATCGTATTATAGACGCGTAATGCGCACTACAGACGTAGAAGCGGTAAAGGACTGCAAGAAACTACAGAGACGACAAAGACAAGAAGTAATACGAACGAATGATTTACTCAAGATCGGAATAAGAAAGAATACAAGTTTCTCTCAGTGTATCTACTAGAACAAATTTAGAGAAGTTTAACTATAAGGAACCCCGTATCACGCACTTACAACTTTTCTCAACAACTGTCACCGCGAAAACGACCTCTAACCCGACCAGGCTGTGTGACTAACGTCAATATACACACTATTATAATCTATCATATCACACGGTCTCCTAACCCTAGCAAAGACCGATTCTTGGAGCTACCCGACCGCTTTCCTTCACACCGACACCGGTCACATATTCGCATCGACACCACTTTCCAGACGTATGCAATTTACTCGTTTACAGTATGAAAGCCTCGGACTTGGTCAGACCTGTTTATAAGGTCTGCACCGGTGATTACGATTGCGGCCCCGCAAGCTAGAGCATGCGTTAGCATCGACCTTTCAACGGTTGGGTGTTATTGTGGCTCAGTCTTGTTCGAAAATTAAGTCATCCCCGATCTAGATCTACCGTGTCGCGCGTGGGTGGCAGCGGATCTAGCGGGCACGCAACAGTAGCCTTCTGCGAAAGGCCGTCGTAAGTATTTTTGGTAATGCTTGGCACTAGAGTGCTCTATTTTGCATTATACACGTAAGATAGATACGGTGTGGTGATGGCCCCGTTATACCGCGATCGTCGAGGGCCATAAAATATCATCGCGAAAGAAACGGGGAACCTGAATCCGGGGTTCAAGAAAAGCTGACCCAATTAATCAAGCGCGTAGCCAGGGGTGGTCTTGGGGGCCCTAGGACCCCCCCCCCAACCAAAATAAAATCAATTGATTATAAAGCACTATTTTTACATTTAACTCAAAAAAAAATTTCACACCACCAGACCCCCTTGTTACTCGCTTGAGGACCCCCCAATCCAAATTCCTGGCTACGCCATTTGACCCAATGTTGACCTAAGCACTCAGTCGCAGTGGGTAGCAATGCGTCGCGTCGCTCGTAATTCGGATATAACGCGATAAGTCATTGGATCTTTTTTTGCTCTTTCCGGAACTGAAACGTTTTTTCGTGCGTTAAGGCGGCCCATAGACATACACAACAACAAGATCCAATGACTTATCGCGTTATATCCGAATTCGCGTAAAATCGGGGAGCGTAAAATCGGGGTTTCACTGACCTATATCTATAATGTAAGGAACGTAAGATCGATCTTGTCAAGAAATTGTCAGGTGACCACTCCGCGTGTTTGTGTGTGAAACGAGATCCGACAAATTGCTGGAAATGTGCATTGTGTAGCTGATAAAAGTTATGTAGGAAGTCGTGTAGTAAAGTCTGTACACTGTGTGGTCACGTTGTGGTCATTTAGTAAGAATAGACTGTACGATCATACGATGTGTATGCGCCGAAACTCTCTCCTTATTTTTAAATAACTTTTGAGTCATTGTTATTTAGGCCTATCGATCTGTGCTGTCTATAGGAACAACTATGAATGGATTAAAACAATGTCCGATTGCGTTACGGTATATAATTCCCTGGTTTACTTCTATTCCCGAACCACGAAAAATTCACGTGGTATTTCCTGGTTCACCAGCACCACCAGCACCACCACCACCACCATCATCATCATCATCATCAATAATAATAATAATATTTCCAGTGGATCACGGCATTAGCCGGTGGCTTCTGGGTTGGCCGTGTCCCAACCTGGGACATAGGGATTCAATCCATAATAATAATAATAATAATTATTATTATTATTATTATCATTATTTTCATTATCATCTTCGTCATCGTAATCATCGTCAGTGAACCATGTTAAAAACAGCTGCTTGCTGAATGATTGCTGATGACCGAGCATGTATGTCTGCAGCGATTCCCACGCGTACAGACTATGACTGACGCTGCGCATGCTGTTATAATATAGTCTGCTAACGGAGGGATGCTAATCAAGAGTATATAATACCAAGATATAATACCCCCCTCCCCTCTATCTCTCTCTCTCTCTCGTAGCTCTCTCGTAGCTCTCTTCAAACATTTTACGGGAGCTATTTTTCGCTCATCGCTCCCGTGTATCTTTTACCCTGCCACCCACCCACACACCCGCACGCACGCACAGAAAGGATGGGGGAGAGACATACAGTCACTCCACAGGCTGTGGGACGGGGTGTTGTTCGCAAAGCACACTAT